AATGAATATATTTTTTAATTTTTTATATATCTCTAGCATTTTTTTATTAAATGAAATTTTTTATTAAAATGAGAAACAATATTTCAATTTTAAGTTAAGACAACAATTAGTATTTTATTATTTAACAGTATAAAATCAACTTATAAATTGATGTTTTCAAGTACATTAGCAGTTGTGGATTGGTAAAATTAGACAAAATAAATAAATTTACAATAATTTGTGTGTCAATAGCAAATGATTGTGTAGCCATAACATTGCTTGTAACTTGTTACCATCGTTTTCACTATATATATATATATATATTTGATAACATGAGTATTTAGATTTTTTACTCCACTAATTTTAATTATAGACACTTGCAAATCATTTCATAGCTTTAAGGGTAGTGGATATGATCTATTGATATTATTTGCACACAGATGGCATTAAAGGGATTTGAATCCACATTTTTAACATGATCATTCGAATGACTCATTAACCATTTTAGTCAATTCCAATAAGTTTTTAAGTTATGATTATAAACTTATAATTATATTTGATATTATAATCATATCATTGTGAGGTTTTCAATAATTAATGATTAAATTGATAATATTATAAATTTATTATAATTTAAGATCTACTTACACATATTATTTATTTAAAATCTTAACTATTCATCTTTTTATTATGAATGGAGGAGATTTATCATCCTTTGTAGACTTTCAAATCAAGAAATTGTGTAAACTATTTTTTTCTTTCTAGGTAGAACGTAAAAGAGTAGTTTGCTCCTTGCTCACCATACGGCTGTTTAGTAAATGATAGCAAACGAAGGTACATAATAAATTTCAAAAAAAAAAAAATCCTAGTACATAATAAATTAAAAAATAAAAAGATAAGAAAAATGTAGAATAAAAATGATCTTTATTTAAACCAAACGCAAGCACTCGGACAATTCTTAATTAAGAAATAAAAGTAACATACATTTCTTGTTATAAACAAAATTATCCCGTGCATCATGCATATATATATATATATAATTCACAGAACACAGTGATCTTATTGTTTGTTCTTTTTCTTAATTAAGAACTAAGTAGGAACAAGAGATAAAAGAAAAAAAAGGAGTAGTACTTGATAGAGGAAAGCAAAATTAACACACATGCATATAATTACGGAGTCCAGTCCAGCAGGTTGAAGATGATGAAGCAGGCAATGACATGTTTACATGATTGTGCACAAAATTTGATTTTCTTCAGTACAGTAATTGACGCAACCGCATCTGTAGCAACCCCAACCCAAACAGTCGCAAACCGGTCTTCCACAATATCCATATGGACCCCAACAAAATCCCGGAGGAAGAGTAACCTGAAGCGTTGGCAGTGATGGCTTCCCCTCGGCAGGAGGCTTTTCCTTTTCTTTGGGATTTTTTTGGCTCCCCTCTGGAGGCTTTTCCTGTTTCTTCTCTTTCTTCTCTGGAGGAGTTTTCTGTTCCTCCTCTTTCTTCTCTGGAGGCTTTTTGATCTCAATGCTCTTGATGGATCGACCGCCCTTGCAGCGTAATTTATCCCTGATCTTCTCCGGCGAGCAGCACACCACCTTGATTTTCACCTTGTTTGCCTTCTCATCATACTCCTGATCTCGTATTTCTTTAATTAATTTGTTCACAATACAACGACTCAGTCCATTTCGCTAATCAATTTATTAAATACATACGGAAATTATATTAGGAGAGAATAATATTAATTGAAGAAAGAGACTCACCAGGAAATTTGCAGAGAAGTTTTTTGACCTTTTTGTAGCATTTTGAGCACTGTAGGTCCACATCGATCTCCATTATTATCCCCTGTAAAATAATATATGTTTAGATATACATATCTATTATTGAACGTCATTCACCTTATATGTATATATATACATATATATGCCATGCATGCAGAGAAAGAATTGAATTTAATTTTCGAAAAAGGATTAATTATAAGCAAAATTAAAATTATGACGCCATATGCATCAAACCAAAATCCATAACTATTCCTTAATTTTCATAGAGAGAGAGAGGTATAACAGCCACAGAAAAGAAAGAAAAAAAAATGGAGAGTATAAATTTAGCACCAACCTTCTC